GGCATATGATATGAGCCTTGAAAGAAGCTAGAGATTCTAAGAGCGGAAAGGAATACAAAATTCTGTATATCTGTGTTTGAAATTATAGACATTAGTGGGATAACATGATCAAATATTCAAATATCTGTTTCCAAAACAACTTTCAGAAACATATTTGAAGCATAAAGAGAAGCCAAACTTGATAGTTTTGATAGAAAATCCCAGTCCAGCTTTCAGAATGTCCTAGAAATTGTTCCCTCTCCTCTCTTCTCTACTCCTCTCCAGGGCCAGCATAAGGTTCATCAGCCAAAAATCTACCCCACTGACTACCCAACTTAAAAAAAAAAGTTCTGCCATTATTCCTTTGGGGTCCAGCAGATGTTGAATTTTTTTTCCTGTACTCTAACGTAAATTCCAGTGGCAGAATCTTTGACCCACACCAAGGAATCTATTTGCAACAAGAATCTAGAGCAAGAGTTCTTAACTTGGGATCCACAGAAGGGAGCTGTTGATTGATTTTAGGGGGATTGTAAATTTGAATGGAAAAAAATTGCTTTTTTATTTTCACTAACTTGCTACATGTATAATTTCCACAGTAGTATTAGCATATTGGTGATTTTCTCACCATTATAGCACATATATTTTCACTTTACATTAGAATTGTTGCATATTTTGACATATCATTTACATTGGAGAGAGAGAGAGAGAGAATATAAGAATCTTCCCCTCTATTAATGGGCAGCTTCACTTTTTCCAACCACTGATTTTTATTTCCCTCCAAAGTATAAGAATGGGTTCTAAGCTCATCTTAGATGTTTTCCTTAGCAAAGGACAATTTTACCAACTTTAACAAGAGCCCCATAGAGTTAGGGAGCTATCCATTGTGTTTTTTTTTCCCCTAGTATTTTGGAAGTCTGTCCCAGACTCTCAGGAAGGTTGTGGCTCCAATTAATACTTGTTTGTTTCAAAATCCAAGGGAGAATTTTCCTCAGAGTAAAGCATCTCCAGAGTTTTTAAATGTACTTTTGTACAAATTCTTTAACATACTTTAGCGTTAAGCTCAAAGCTTTCAACAGGTCACTTAATTATTTGGGGGAGAAATATGTTGGAAAATACTAAATCTAGTCCAGTGGCCTTAAATGATAGTAACAAAATGGAGGTGGAAAGCACAAGAGATGAGCTCTGCAAATTCTGCTTCCACTTGGGTCAAAGAAGAGAAATGTGAAACCAAGAGCTGCAATCATTGTTGGTACATGATGGTCAAAGGTGGTCTAGCGTTTGTAAAATTCTTAGTACAAGGTAAAGGAATTAAGAGCCAAGCAAAGATTCTATGGAGTAGATTCTGTTAGCTCACCTGAAATGCTCTGGCTCATTGTGACCCCATCTATGTTTGTTTTCACCCTGAAACTCCTTTTGAAGTTGCAGTCAGAAGCTTATCTGCATTTGGCTCTGTGGTCAAGGCCTATGTTGTCCTAGGGCTTGGACAGAATACATCTAAGTAGTAGTCAAAGTGATAACAATGCACTGGAGATTCAGCCTAGAGCTAGGCACCAGACCCTCCTGTCACTGAGCTCAGCCCCTCATTCCTAGAGGAATGGGGCTCTGTGGTAAGCATTGGTAAATGCCATCAGTCCAACTGTAGCCATGATACAGATTAGGACCTACCCATCTCTTTAGGAATTGTAGAGATTGCTACATCAATTAATAAATCAATCAATAAACATTCATTATGTGCCTACTATGTGCTAGGCACTGTACTAAGTGCTGGGCATGCTGAAAGAGGCAAAAGACAGTCCCTCCTCTCATGGGGCTTGCTCTCTAATGGGGGAATGTACATAATGTGCAATTAATTTTATTTTACTGAGATCAGTCTCATGTTCAATTTCAACTGGAGGAGGTGATCCCTTCATAGTTCTCCAATCCTCTGCAGGGTGGTGGCATTGACAAGGATATGCTCTATTCTCTTTAGCTTCCTTGAATTGGGGATAGAGACTGTGTCTAGTTTCTTTAGTACAAGGACATCATTTTGTCCTAGATTTTAGTGACATTACTGAAATTACTGAAAATACTAGAGATCCTTTGCCCTACTTACAGTAACAAAAGGAAGCTCCAAAATGGTGGAACTGCCTCTCCCAGGTCCTGCTTTTTCTTTTCAAATTCATTGAGTAGAATAGGAAAATTGAACTAAAAGTCCTAGCTGTTTTCTTCCTTGATCAATTTGAAGGAAAAGTGGGGATGCAAGGGTACATCTAGCAATGACCAAAGTCAATGTGGAACTGGAGAGAGGGGAAAGGCAGATCTTATCTCTATAAGCAATAGCTAAAAATAAAAATGAGTCTGAAAGGGCTCCTGTCTTTTGGATTCCCTCAACTCTTAGGGAGAATCATTGAAATGGTGGCCATATTATCTGAGTCCAACATCATTCCACATGATATGACAGGATTTTTTTAATGAATGCAACAGAAAAGATGAAAGTCAGACTGTCCTAGAAAAATCTAGGTCACAGTATTTGAGGGACACTAAATGGGGTAGGGTAATTATACAGAAAGGAATGTTGAATAATTAGAGAAAGTAGTGAAGAAATTTTGTAAGACCAATATAAGGCATAAAAGGTGGGTTCACAGGGGGAGGTGGGGTCTTGGAAAACAGCCAAGGGAAAGGACAGTAACAGGAACTGTAGCTTGAATAGAGAAGAAGCAGGAGCTGTCAGAAGAGGCTCCAGAGAAGGTCTCCCACTTCAATTCAAATTCCAAGTTTGGCCCCTGAGGTTCGAAGCTGTCCTGGGCTGGAGAAAGAGAAAAATCTAGGCAACTCCTTTTCTGGCTCCTATTTCTTACTTCAAGCTCTGGGGTTGGATTAGCAAGGTTTGAGTCCATGTAGGAACAATGGTGCTACAAAACCCAAGCCTTTAGGTGAGCTCAGTTCTTGCCTGCCCTGGAAAGAAAGAATTAGAGACATGAGAAGGTGGCAGGTTCCTGGTGGATCTGATGCGTGTGTCCTCCTGTAACATCTGGCAAGCATAGACAGTCAACAAGCAGCACAAGAAGACTGGTTTGCTGTGTGTGTTTGCCCACCATTATAGTTTACTTATTTTCTTCTAAGAAACCCCTCAAATTGCTTCATGGAAGTACAGAGGCCCAGCCAGGACCCAAAGAGCACAGTTTGGGAAATATAAGGCAATCAATGAGTCATCTCCCCATCTACTTTAAGTTGCTGGAGAAATCCAGGCTCTGTACCTCATGAGGCAGATTATCATTAATTACCTAATGAGCATCTCCAATTGGGTATCCCATAGGAATCTCCTACTCAACATTTCTAAACAGGACTCATTATTTTTCTTTAAAATCTTCTCTTCCTCTTGATTTTTCTTTTTATGTTGAATCTTTCTAGGCCCCCAGGTTTGCAACCTTGGCATCATCCTCCAATTTTCCTTCTCTCCCTCATATCCAGTTGCTTGCCAAGTCTTTATTCCATATCTACAACCTCTCAAATCTGTGCCTCTTACTACCTTTCATAATAGTCTTCTAATTGGTTTCCCTGCCTCAAGTCTTTCCCCTCTCCAATTCATCTTCCACACAGCTGTCAAATTGACATTTCTAAATGTACAAGGAGGAGGAGAAGTGAATAAGCATTTATATAGTGCCTACTATGTGCCAGGCATTATACTTAATAATTATTATTTAATTTGATTCTCATAAAAGCCCTGGCAACTAGGTGCTGTTATTATTCTCCATTTTACTGTTGAGGAAACTGAGGCAAAGAGGTTAAATGACTTGTCCAGGGTCACACAGCTAGTAAGTCTCTGAAGCTAGATTTGAACTCAGGTCTTCCCAATTCCAGGTCCAGTGCTATACCTATTGTGCCACCTAGTTAGCCTACAAATTTCAATATGTTATTCCCTGGCTAAAGAAGGACTAGTGGCTCCCTATTGCCTTTAGGATCAAATACAAACTCTTCCATTTCGTAGTTAAAGCCCTTCACAAACTTGCTTCAGCCAACCTTTCCAGACACATTGCATGATATTCTCCTTCATACATTATATTATCACCCAAGAGACCTACTTGCCATTTATTATCATACAAGACATTCCGTCTCCTATCTGCATACTGTGGCTATCCCCAATGTCTGGACTATGCACTCCCTCTATCCAACTAGCTCTGAATCCACTTAATTACACTATTTTCTAGTCCACATCTCTCCACAAGAGAGATTTGCTATTCTTTTCCACAAGAATAGCAAATTAAATAAGCATTTATAAAATATCCACTATATGTCAATCAATGAAGATACAAAGAGAGTAATAAAATGGTGCCTCAAGGAGCTTATATTTGCTTGGTGAGGGATGCAATCTGTACACACATAAATATGCACCAAACAAATATAAAGTAATTTGGAGGGGAGGAGGAAAGAGAAACCTGGAATGACCTTATGTAGGAGGTGCCATACATTTGAGCTGAACTTTGAAGGAATCTAGGAAATCCAGGAGACAGAGGAAGGAGTGTATTCTAAGCACAGGGAACAACCTTCCCAAAGGCACAGAGAACCAAATACCTTACTGAAATCTAATAAAACAATAACCACAGTATTCCCCTAATCTACCAGTCTAACAATTCTATCAAAAGAGGAATAAGGCACAATTTGTTCCTGAAGAAGCCATTCTGGTTCTAAGTGATCACTATTTCCTTTTCTAGATGTTCAATAATCATGCAAAGTTGTAACGTGTCAGGATCACAGTTTGCAGGCTCCATTCTCTTCCATTATTTTGAACACCATGACAATATTTGCCTTTCTCCAACCCTATGGTAGTTCTCCTGTCTTCCATGTCCATCCATCGATCGTGGTAGTGGTTAAACAATCACATCTGCCTATTCTTTTAGCACCCTAGGATGTAGTTCATCTGGTAATTTGTACACATCAAGGGCAACTAGGTGGTTATCAACTTCCTATTAACTATTTTTCTATTTTTCCAGTCTAAAGAATTTTACTTTGCAGAGAAACAGAAGCAAAAAGCAGTTGATTACCTCTACCTTCTCCCTAAATGATAGTCTTATTACTTCTTTGCTCTTTCTTGCTTTGCCATACTCCCAATTTTTGTTAATCCCAGCTTTCTTCATTGTCTCTGTTCATTTTGAACTTTTGCATTTCTGATATTATTCTTTGATTTCCATACTTTGGTATTCATATTCCATTACCGGCCCTTGCTTTCATCTTCTATGGATCTTCTAAAAATCTAAGAGAAAAAGAATTGCTACCATTTATGTAATTCTTTAAAGCAAAGTGCTGTACATGTTATCTCATTTGAACTTTACAATAACCCCCCGAAGTAGGTAATTTCCATTTTGTAGATGAAGAGACTAAGAGTAAGCCGGGTTAAGTGACTTGCCCCGGGTCACAAAGCCAGTAAGGCCTTTAAAAATGGTTGGTGAGGTCCCCATGATTTAATAAGTCACCTTAGATAATTCCTTCCCCTTTTCCCCATAGGAATTTTTTTTCTTTGAATATTCAAAATTTCATTTTTAAGAGCTTCTTTTTCCTATTGTAGGAAATCTCCACATTTCCTAGCTGTAGAAATTTAGTTCATGTGACCCACCCTCTCTCAAAATCCTTTGAAATCTAATCTCCTGAACCCAGAATATTTATCAGACTATTCCTTGCCTTTGTCATCACAGATTCTAAGATGAAACAGTCACTTCCCCTATAAAGTTTCACATTTCCACAACAACCACCAGTTTCTCCTTGTTAGTAGGAATCAGACCCAGAATAGAGGTTCCCTTATTGGTTCCCCCACTGTTTGAAGGAAAAAAAAAATCATTTAGGCATATCAAGAAACTTGTAACTTCACTCTTTTTGGCAGAGAGAACACTCTATATCACAACTCTGTGCCAGGCTTCTGATCCATTTCCTTAACTTACCTAGTTTCTTTCTCTCCAAGTAGTATTTACTCTGATGACAAATAGATCTTACTAGGGCATCTTAGGGCAGCTGGGTAGAACAGTGGATAGAGCACTAGGCCTGAAGTCAGGAAGACCTGAGTTCAAATCCAACTCAGGTACTTACTACCTATGTGATGCTAGGCGAGTCACTCTACCTCAGTTTCCTTATATGTAAAATGGATATGAAAATAATGGCACCCACCTCCCAGGTTTGTTATGAGGATCAAATGAGATGATAATTGTAAAGCTCTTAGCACAGTGCCTGGCATGTAGTAGGTACTACAGAAACATTAGTACTATCTATCATTATTATTTTACTAAAATGTAAGTCTGACTCTGTCATCCCCTATTCAATAAACTCCAGGATCAAATATAAAATCCTCTCTTTAGCTTTTAAAGGGCCTTCATAACCTGCCTCTTCCTACTTTTCCAGTTTTCTTATTCCTTACTTCCCCTTCCACCTATTCTGCAATCCAATGACACTGATCTCTTTGCTGTTCCTTGCATAAGACACTCCATCTGCCAATACCAAGTGTTTTAATTTGCTGTCCTCGTGCTGGAGCACTCTTCCTCCCCATTGCCACCTCCTAGCTTCTCTGGTTTTCTTCAAGTCTCAGATAAAATCTGACCTTATATAGGAAACCTTTCCCGATTCCCTTTAATCCCCTGTTTCCCAATCCCAGCCTTCTCTCCATTGAGTATCTCTAATTTATCCAGTATCTATCCTATTTGTATATAACTGTTTGCATGTTGTCTCTCCTATTAGACTTTGAGCTCCTTCAGAACAAGCACTGTCTTTTCCTTTTCTTTGTATCCCTAGCACTTTGCCCAGTGTCTGGCACATAATAAGCACTTGATAAATGCCAGTTCACTATTTCTACCTCCATTGATGTTCACCCAGATGCTTTCCATGATACTTTCCCCTCTTAATTTTCTCCCTTGAATATATACAATGCTATTCTAAACACACATACACATATAAACACACACATATACATATACACAACTTTTTTATATGCTGCTGCTTTGAAATAAAGTATACCTTTCTAGAGCTATATTCTAGTTGTGGATCCCATCTCAGTGATCCCCAAAAAGTCAAATTTGCCTCTATGCATTAGAATCTCCAGCTCTTCTTGCTTTTTACCCTTACTTTATGCATTTGTGTGTAAATATATGAGGCTATATCTAATTTAATAACTAGCTTTCTTAAAGAATTTTGTCTCCAATATACTTCCTTACTGCTATTCTTCCTATTTAGTAGCATTTAAGTGTTGATATTTGATGATATAAGCTTAATAACTAGCTCCTTCTAGAATTTTTGTCTTCAGTGTACTTCCCTACTGCTATTATTTTTCCTACTTTATAACATTTAGCTTGATGAATAAACAAGTACATTTTCTCTCACCCTCTTCCTTTTAAGACCTTTTTGATTAGATTTGTAGGACTTCATGCAAAGATATGCTAGGTACACCCTATCAATGGCTAGAGGTTTGTCATTCCTATATTTCAAACTATGGTCCAAAAATCACTCTCAATTTTTTCAACTGTTTATTTTCCCAAATCTGCTTCTTCTGAATTACTTGTTTTCTGATGGGTAGTAGTGATTAAAGTGCCAGCTGTGCCCCTAAAGTCATAAGTTTCTTGCCTAAAATCTTTAGCACTGTTGACAGTTATGTATGCTCATGTGAATCACCCCAAGAGGGTAGCAGTCATCTGGTCTGACAAGTACTGGGAGAGTCTCTAATATCTTGGGTTCATGCTCTGGGAAGAAAGAAGACTCCTTTATTGTGATTATCAGGTTAACAAATAGTTGCCTTAAGCCTCTTCAGTAATAAGCCACCAACCACTACTACCTATCTCTTTTTTTGGGAAAAAAAACCCCAAAATCCAAAAACCAAAACCCTTTTTTTCAATTAACAATAATTTATTTTCTCTCTTCTGTCTCCTGCTTTTCTCTCATTAAAAAATAAGAGAAAAATAAAACCTTGTAACAAATATACATGGTCAAGCAAAACAAATTCACATATTAGCCATTTTAAAAACAGCTACCTACAGTAAGTTCATCACTTCTCTGTCAAGAGGTGATCCATCTCTTCCACAGTCCCTTATTAGAAGATCTCTAACCAGATCCATTTCATTACTTTTGTATAAACAGCTGCTTCCTCTTTAAAGTTCCCTCTTAGGAAGAGTGGGGCAGCTAGGTGGTACAGTGAATTGAATGCTGGGCCTGGAGTCAGGAAGACTCATCTTCCTGAGTTCAAATCCAATCTTAGACATTTAGTGGCTGTGTGACCCTGGGTAAGTCACTGAACCCTGTTTGCCTTAATTTCCTTATCTGTCAGTTGAGGTGGAGAAGGAAATGGCGAACCACTCCAGTATCTTTGCCAAGAGAACCCCAAATGAGATCACGAAGAGTTGGACGCAACTGAACAACAACTTTAGGAAGAGTATTACAATTCCTCTGGCTCCAAATGTTCAATAATCCTTTAAACTCTTCACTCTGTGCAACACACTTCTTTCCTCCAAAATCCTAAAGGAGGTCATAATATTGCTCTGCTTCTTTTGAAATTTCTCCTTGTTTGTTTTTGCTCTATCTTATTTCCATTTTTTAAAGGAAAATTTCATTCTCCTAATAACCCAGAGAGTAGAGAAGTATTCTTTCTTTACATTCTCTTCTAAGAGGGACACCAGGCTGCACCTTGAATAGAGACAGCAGTCACTTGATTGTAACAGAAATACTAATATTACTGCAGATCATTGCAAAATTCACCCAACTCTCCATATTTAGAGGACACATCCTCAGCCACTGTTTCTCTTGCTAGTTGGTCCCCTATGTGCTAGTTTATTTTAATCGAGACATGGCACTGTCGTCACTTTAGGTGCCGTTTCAACATTCAAAAAAGGTGTTTTTTTTTTTCCTGCTAGGTGCTTTCTCTACAAGTAGGCAATATTGCCACCAAGTACCTTGGTTATGGTGAAGCAGAAAGAATACAAGCATTTATTAAGCATTCTATGTGATAGGGCTATGCTAAGCACTTTGACAAATATTATCTCATATAATCTTCACAACAACCTTGGGAGGTAGGTACTATTATTATCCTCATTTTACAGTTGAGCAAACTTAGTCAGAGAAAGGTTAAATGACTTACCCAGGGTCACATAGCTAGTAAGTGTCTGAAACTGGGTTTGAATTTAGGTCTTCCTGACTCCAGACCCAATATTCTATTTATTGTGCCACCTAACTTCCTAGTAGCAGCTAACATTTATATAGCATTTTCAAATTTTAAAAGTATTTTACAAACATTAGATCATTTTATCCTCACAACCACCTTGGGAATCAGGCGCTAATGTTATCTTCATTTTGCTGATGAGGAAACTAAGGCAGAGGTTTGGTGACTTGCCCAGGGTTACACTTACTAGGGTAAGTTTTTGAGGCTAGATATCCACTATGCACCCAGCTACTAATTAGTCAGCTGCCAACTAGTCAGAACAGTAAATACTATAGCCATTCTTTATCTGAGATGGAAATAAGCATGTTTCATTTTAAAAAAAATTAAAGCTGTATTAAAATAGCTTAACTGAAATGGTATCATTAAATGCCATAGGACCAGTTTTCAATGGAAAACTAACACCTTGGTATAAATGCCTTTGTCACTAACCTTCAACAATTGATGTATTCAAATCTCTAAACTTTTTTTTTCTCCCACAAACCTTGATTGGAATAATCTTTTATAATCCTCCTGCCTTTCTTAAGGAGTAAAAAGGTCTTCCTCCGTACATGAGGATATAGCAGTAGACCCTAAGAACCTCACTTTAGCATCCTTTCAAAAGCCCTTGCAGGCAGATTCTCTTCTGTTAGGATTTCCCTTTCCCTGAGCAGCTTTTCTTCCGACTTCTCTCAGATAATCAAAGGAAATCCTTTGGTGTATCTTTGTATCTCCCTTTCTTCTTGATGTCTTCTTTATAACAGCAAAAGCCAGAAGAAATCATTTCTACAAATGGGTCTCTTTGCTGCTTAGAGCAGGAACCTTTTAATAAACATTCCACAATTTCAGGCTTCCCTGGTAGTTTCTTTTTTGGAAGAGGCCTTAAACACCCCCTTCCTTTTCACCTTCCTCCTTCCTTTACTTTTATGCCTTCTATTATTAGGGCTCATAGAAACTTTCTACATATATAAACATCAATATCTAAAGTGAATTAATTTTGATGGCTGTTAAAAGAAGTATTTATCACTACATACCTCAATGGGGTAAATCTTAATGGGGTAATTATAGGTCCTGGTGGTACAGTGTATAGA